TAGAAACACCAAATGTGCCAGAATATGAACCAATAGGAAGGCGAGGATTATCGGCGAGTAATGCAGGCATCCCTGAATATGAAGCGGTGTCAACAAGAACACAGCCGTCCCAACCACATTCTGGTATACGGACGAAAATCCCCATGCCTCAGTATGAAAGTGCAGATCAACATGGACAGACAAGGGCTGTTTCAAGTCCACCACCAGTCACCTATCAGACCATCCAACCTCGTACTGCTAACTACGATTCACTGAGTCCTTCAACACGGCTGTCCCCTAAGAGTGYAGTAGTGMCATCCACAGGAAGCCCAACACGTAYAGGAGAGTACCAGGCCCTTCAACACAAGGGTGTGTCTCCACAGTACCAGTCTCTGGATGMCTTGAGCAAATGTTGAGTGAATATGGACCAAAAGAGAACAGTATTGATGAGGCAATGCCTTATGCTTTTAAATGCTACTAATAGAGTWAATGATATGCGGGACATCTGTACCATTACTGATATCACACTCACTCCTCTATCATAAAAGATACACTTGCAATTTTTATGACATTTTTCACTTTTCTTTGGTTCTTTTAGACACATTGATCATACTAGACAGTCTTGTAACAATCAAGTATTAGATATTATCAATCAAGAGTGAATATGGACCACACGAGAACAGTATTGATAAGGAATTGCCTTGTGCTTTTAAAAATGCTATTAATAGAGTAAATGATATGCGGGACATCTGTATCACAYATTACTGATATCCGTTACCTTTACTTCTCGATTATTAAAGATACACTTGCAACATAATCTGTTCACATTTTGCTCCTACCTTCGGTTCTGTTAGACACATTGATCATACTTAAAGACAGTGTTGTAATAATCTTGTAAATCATACATATATATCATATGCAGATGCAAAACTAATTAATTTGAGAACCAGGCTYCGATATTCGTCTTCGGCCAGTGATTAGGCAGCAGCCATAACTGACTATTAAACTGCTCTTCTAGACGGACGTTCACTTGAAGATTMTTGAAAACCCGTAAGCTAGACGAGAGTTTTTATAATCAGAAAAATGAACAGGCCATTGATTGGTATGCCTCATAACCAGCTTTGTTTTTATCCTGTTCTAATAAGCCTTTTCATAGTTTAAGAATCG